GCGGCTGACTGGAGGCTATAATATACTGGTTTTCCAGCATGAATTAGATACTTACAAAAATAAACATTCAGTTTTCATACCGCACTTTTGTCAACTATAAAAACCGTCAGGCCTGCGCGAAACGCGCAGCACAGTCACTGCGAAGGCTGCAAGAGCAGCGTTTCAGAGCTGATGCTGATGACCTCAGATAGATGACGCTCACACACAGAGGGGGGTGGGCCAAGAACCGGGCGGCAGGATACTTAAATGAAACTAAAATGAAATTAAACCCAGTCTGAAAAATTAGATTAGAGATAATGCTGCCAAGAAACAAAAATGTTTGCTGAGCAAGCGGTCAAACCATCTCTTGTTTCTCAGAGACATCGCCACTAATTATAAACTAAAGATCGTTTCCTAAACACTCTTTGGTTAACTGCTACAAGAACACTTTCTGGGTACCCACTGTGTGATAAGCAATTATAATTTTCGTGTAGTAGGCCGGCTACGCTATCCTTCATCACTCTTTGGAGAAACGTGGTATCCGCCACACACTTGCAAGGAATTGTGTTTAATTTTCTTTATACAGTGGCGGACGACAAAGAAGAATCATACCTGAAATGTGTTTGCACCACATCCACGTCTCTGCTTGTGAATACAGTGAAAATAACTTTCTTTGCTTGGAAATGCAGTGAGAGTAACTTTCATGTTTACAAACACACGCGTCCTGTATGCATGCTTCACAATACAACATGAAATATTGCCGTAATAATGCGTGGTACAAGCGTTTATTGTTATTGAGTGTCAGAACATGTGATTATCGTAATGACTATGTTTTTTAAGCCAGTCACCCACTACAAAAGGCACACACGTTAGTGCGCCTATTCCCTTAAGGCCACTTAGTGGGTGCATAGCAAGTTGAAAAAGATTTAATGCGGTGTTTAGATTGCGCACCTGAGACAGAAAACCACTTTCACGTTCAACTTTTAAAGGCAAAGCTAAAGATTCCCGCAATGTTGTTGTCATTTGTAAAAACGCACGTTATTTGTTCCAGAGCAGTTTCAAGACCTGGCGGGACTCTGCAGTAAAATACCTAATTGTCGTGCAGAATGGTTAAGCTCGATTCATGCCGAGATTCAATTTTTTTTGTGTGTATGTGGCTACTTATTCTATAAACCGTATTACTTAGTTATATTGCGGCTAGCAAGCTCATTTCGCGCTGTCACAGTGTAGCCTTCTAGTTCGCCCAAATGCAAGATCAAAATAGGAAGTCAGTTTTCATTATTAGCCAATTTATTCCGAGCATACATACATGCTCCAAACAGGTGCCAAGGCCAGACAACCCTCAGAAATGTCTTCTTTCAGGCCTTAATATATATGACCTCTAACGGTCAGAAAAGCATGTAAAGGAGCAGGAGAATGTCGCATTAAGTAAGTAAAACTCCTCTCTAACACCTTCTCTCAGCTGGAGAAAAGTCTCCAGTCACGGAAAGTAAGCATGCTTTGCTTACCGTGAAAGCACACCACGTGTAGACTAAACGTGCGAAAAATCCCCCCCCCTCCTTCCTCACCCTTCCTGTATACGCATGAACTTTTTTGAGTGTAATGTTGATGCAACACTGCCGCAAGGTTGTAAACATTGCCTTAACGTGATAAACGTTACTTCAAAGTTACGGCAATTATGTGTTCATTAAAATCGACTTTGCCACACGACGTGATCATATTGTCATGTACTTGAATCCCGCAAAGTCAATTTTCGAAGGTGAGCCACACATATTTTGGGGTGCACCAATTCATTATATTCAAAGTTGTTCCCAGTTTTCGAACTGGGTACTCAAGCGTGACGCCGTCACTTCGTTTCGCGAGTAACGGCTCCATCGAAAGTTAGCGCCAAACTATGCAGAAAACAATTCACAGCTTATCTACGCAGTGAATAATGATGAGTGGGGCGAAGCATCCGTCCATTCATCCGTCAGTCCGTCCGTCCGTCTACCTGTCTGTCTGCCCATCCGTCCCCTCCTATCACACTGCAGCACACATCGGACGGGCGGGCGGATGGATGGACGGATGGACCTAAATTGGCTTCTCGTGGCAACTTACGAATAAAGTTCTTTGACTAACTGACTGACGGACGCTTCGCCTCACTCATCATCATTCACTCCATGGGTATGGTGTGATTTTTTTTTATTATAACAGCGCCATCTATCCTCTTTAATCGTCAACTATACGAAAACCACCAACGCCGTCTAGTGATAAGGTTTCCAAGGACATATACACACAGCGCCATCTAGTGAGCAATTCATAAACTAGAGGCGACTACATACATACTGCATACGGATGAGGGAACGACTCACACCCTAAAGAGCTTCGCCCCTAAAACAAAACAAAAAAGGGGGAAATTCTTACAAAATGGGCACCACCCGACCTCCGGAGGCCTCGATGTACTTGACGTAAGAGGCGGCGATATAGGTGCTCGTTCCGTTGGGATTGAACGTGCGACTGTCCAGGCGTTGCGCTACGATACCTGCGCGATGTTATTGCGGTAAGAAATGTGCCACGGCGCAAACATGAACGCACTGTGCACTACGGTCCGAAGAAGGAAAATAAGTCACATATGCGTATAACGAGACGCGAAAATCGAACGCTAAAACAGCTAACACGGACGACTTATTATTTTATAACTCTACTGCCTTTATTTCGTCATCATAGGTTCCACGTATATGGGCATCAAGAGAGACGCTGAAAAATGAATCCCTCATTGTCAGGGTAAAAATCTCGAAATATATTGACGAATGCTTCCTGTTGTACTGCTCTATCATTTGGTTCATTAAGTTTGTTTCTGTATTTGTATTTTTTGAAGGATTCAAAAATTTCCCATTTTGTACTGCCACCTTACACTATGCCTCAACTGAGGCCTGTAAAGTATTTTTAAATAAATAAATAAATAAAGGTTGCTAGCAGCGGTATGCTACATGTCTACGATGAAATTCCGCTGCCGTATAGGTCATGACGGCGATGCTCTGGAATGTGTCCTATGGAGAGAAGCCTATGGAGAGAAGCTGAGCCGTGAGCCACATATCTCAGTCCTGGGTCACACAACTGAAACTCCAGCCACATGAACTTCGCATATAGGTTTGAGGGAGAGAAGCGTACTCTTAATGACTTCCCTCTCCTCCCCGCCTTCATGACTCTCGCTTAGGATACTGTTCTGTCTCTATCGAGGGCTGGTATATCAGCCATTTCGTGGGGGAGGTCCTCGTTTGACTGATTAACATATGGAGTTGAAAGTTTCAAGCAACATCACATTACGGAAGTAAGAAAGAAAAAGAAAGAAACAGAAAGAAAGAAAGTTAGAAAGAAAGAAAAAAAGAAAGAAAGAAAGAAAGAAAGAAAGAAAGAGAGAAAGAAAGAAAGAAAGAAAGAAAGAAAGAAGAAAGAAAGAAGAAAGAAAGAAAGAAAGAAAGAAAGAAAGAAAGAAAGGATAAGCGAATTATTGTTTGGGTTTGACATACCAAAATCACAATATGATTATGACAGACGCCGTAATGGAGGACTCCAGAAATTTCGACCACCTGGGCTTCTTCAACGAGCCCCTAAATCTAAGCACACTGATCTCAAGCACTTTCACCTCCATCGCAAATGCGGCCGCCGTGGCCGGGATTCGAACCCGCGACCTGCGGGTCAGCAGCAGTTTTGCCACGGCAGCTGATATATAAGTATATCTACTGGTGTTTCCATTTTCCTGCTGATTGAGTAGTTGTTACTTTTTTTTGCACCCCACTGCCGACGCTCATGAGCTGATTCCCTCTCGGAAGAATACTGTGCCCGCCCCTTCATGCAAATGGCACTGCCAAGCTCTCAATCCGCCCGTATTCTTCAGAAAGTGGCTCACGCTGTCTGTTTTCACGCTTGAAGCACTCTAGCCTCAATGTGCCAAGTGTCATCGATAACCACAGTATATTTAATCCGTCTTGAATGGCGCTGGGCTGACGTCTTCGGGACACCAGCAATCGCGGAGTGATGATTCTCGCTGCTTCATGGAAGCTATATAGTGCTCTACTGTATATTACTGATACTAGCGCTTAATTTTTTTAGGCAAAAAACTTAAGCACACAGACTAAAATTTAAAGTCTACAACTTCTACTGATATTCTATGAAACATTCTGCTACCGTATTTCTATGTATCGTCCCAATACTGCTCAGCATCCCAGTACCTTGGACTACCGTGGCGGGTTAAAGAAAGAAAGAAAGAAAGAAAGAAAGAAAGAAAGAAAGAAAGAAAGAAAGAAAGAAAGAAAGAAAGAAAGAAAGAAAGAAAGAAAGAAAGAAAGAAAGAAAGAAAATTTGGCAGATCTCATGTAGCTGGGAATCGCCGTTATGGGAAGTATGCGGAAAAAATGACCGTGTTGCAATTTTTTTATTGAGCAACACGTCATGAAATGACGCTAAATATACGTACAAATGTTGCACGCACAGACATATGTTGAAGAGTTGCAGATGTTTATATAACCAGTTGTTTGCACTTCTGCAATGATGTCAACTGGAACATGCGTGTTAGCAACACCAGAATCTGATATGAAGCGCTGATGCTCGCGAAGATGCTGGCGTTTGAGACTGCTACATAAATCAACACCACAATTGATGTTAACTCGTTGTGACGGCTGTATTAAAGGAGTACATATGTAATGTTTATAAAACTGCGTAGGCAGCACTGCAAGCACTATTGACGTTTAACCAAGATTAGCATCTATTTGAAAAGTAGCTGCGACACCTGGCGTATATAGCTATGTGGTAGAATGCTTGACTGCCACGCAGAATGCTTGGGCTCGATTCCTGCTGGGACCCTGAAATTTATTATTTGCATTCGTCAAGGGGTCAACGCTGCCCACGTGAGGTTTTACTTAACACTGACATTTATTCTATGCTTTCATTGGGTCGACGCTGCCGATGTCGGGTATTGCTTAACACTCACGCGTTAAAACGTCACGTGTGTGTTCTCGTCGTTCCTGGGTAGATACTGTCAATCACTTATGGCACATACCCGCATACAAGCGGCACGTACTCGCCCGTGGGTATGTGCCACTCTCTGGCGCGAAGTGTTGGATGACGTACGCGACGTGACTGTGATATTAATCATGTATTGACCAGCGCGTCATATTCGTCAAACCACCTTACCCTCCCATGCTGATTTTGGTTCACGCCAAGTTAACGGGGTGGCCACGAGAGCACCCAAACGTAAGCGGCTACATAGATAGATAGTTCGCTAAAAAATGCTTCGCTTTTAAAAGAAATAAAGAAAGAAAGAAATGGACAATGGAGAAAGAAACGAAATGACGCACTAGTGGCCGTTCCCAGTCAATTTTTTGACCATCTGCTCTTCCAAAATGTGCAGCTGTGGCAGAGTAAGCGAACGCCATCGCATTCCATTGCAAATGAAAAAAAAGTATATATATATATATATATATATATATATATATATATATATATATATATATATATATATATATATATATATATATATATATATATATATATATATGTGTGTGTGTGTGTGTGTGTGTGTGTGTGAGTGTGTGTGAGTGTGTGTGAGAGTGTGTGTGTGTGTGTGTGTGTGTGTGTGTGTGTGTGTGTGTGTGTGTGTGTGTGTGTGTGTGTGTGTGTGTGTGTGTGTGTGTGTGTGTGTGTGTGTGTGTGTGTGTAATTCTAAATCTTAAACGCAGCACTAAACTAGAACATTGCTTTCCGGCAACACGTACTACGTCGCTACAGGGACGACAACCACTGATTTACTGCGCAGCAAACTGCGTTTGACTGTTATTTAATGACAAATGCAATACCCATCTTTGAACCGCCCAAAGTCGCGGTTTTGTGCTGAATTAATCGTACCAAGAAGTGATTTTCACTTGTTAGCATACTTAATAAGTAACTATGCGCGTATTTTTTAAGGAAACTCGTCCGATAGAGTGTTTTATTCCCGTATCTCGTAGAATTAATGATATTTGTTATTAAGCACAATAGTTTTTTTTGGCCGCGTCAACACAGCGATATACTTACGAGGCGCAAAAGGAAGAACATGGACAAAGCGCGCAAAAACCGCATTTTATAAACAATGCCAGTGACCGTAATGCATGTGTGTCGTGAAACCCTCAGTCATGTTACTTGCCGTTGAAATATTTTTTTTTCAGGAAGCGCAATCTTTTTTCTCTCACAATTTCTTCAACTCGTGTTTATGTAGCCCCTCATATATGTCTGTTGCCGCAAATAAATATTCGGTTGTTAGTGCGCGCTCTGTCAATGATTCTTCCTTTCGTGCTTGACTTTTCCGCGCACCACCATTGAGACGAGTTACCGACTCGCCCAGCAGTCCGTTCTTCTCAAATACTTATGAGGCATCCCATTTCCCGCGGACGTCTGCCGGTACAGCGCTATACAGTGATGACAATGCACGACTACTGACCCCAAGGTCACAGTATCAAAACCCAGCCACGACTACTGACCCCAAGGTCACAGTATCAAATCCCAGCCACGACTACTGACCCCAAGGTCACAGTATCAAAGGCGACCGCGTTTTCGACGGGGGCGGAAAAGCTTAAGGTCCGTGCACTTAGTTCTAGCTGCACGTTAAAGGAGCCCAGACGGTCGAAATCTACATAGCCTTCCTCAACTGCGTCCTTCACAATCATATCGCGATTTTGAGTAAGCATAAACAATTTTTAAGCTGTATGACATAGGTTTCATCACCGCGGTCTCAAAGGCTGCCTTTTAAAGAGGGAGAAATGCAAGAACACCCGTTATACCTATAAAGTTATGAGCACGTTAAACAAAGCCCCAGTTGTCCAAGTTGTTCCGAGCTAAACCACTACGGCGTGCTCGACTATCACGTCGTGTTTAGGGCAATAAAATATTCCGGATTTGATTTCGTATACTACGCTAAGTAACTGGCACTTTCCAGACAGTCACGAACAAAATTTATACTATACCCGCCTACAAAATCTCGCCATGAATGATGTAAACGCGGTGTTGTACCGCTGTGTAGGATTTAAACGAAATACCAAGCTAAGTACACGCCAAAACGGTTCAACGTTTTGCGTACATAATACAAACGTTCACAGGCGGTCATCCAAAGTCGGGCAATATTATGCGCAAAATAACAGATGACAACGCCAAAAATACAAAGATAAGCAGTATCTTTAGCAAATATTTGAATGTCACGCCTTTGAACGGCTGATCCAATGGTCCGCGACAAACAGAAGGCCGATACTTCGCTTGGCTCGAGTCTTACCCGTATAAAATTGAAAGGGGATAAATCAAGTTTAGGCGCTCCGTCGAAACCGTACAACTTTTCCTACATCTGCATATACGTCCTGGCACTGCGTTAAACCTTCAGTTCTCAAAGCGCAAACACACAGGCGTGCCAAGGATAAAGAAAGATAAGCGTTATCCTCCGCAAGCATTTTCGATCACGCTGACGGGAACTCGTTCCAACGTTCCGCTCGTTTCTTAGCTGACGTGCGCAGCCGATCG